CAAACAATTGGCACTAGGAGAACAAATAGACGTCATCTGTGTGCTCTGCGATATTGTGGTTTATCTCGGAGCGGGATTCGACGATAGCAGTGGAAATTACAGCAATAATTGAAGGCCGCGTGGGAGTATTGTCGATGTAATTCGTTATACAATCGGTTAATTGAAAGGTGTACAAATAATATATATATTTTTTTTTGGGGGGGGGAAGTTGAATTATTACCGTAGATAAAATTATTAAGTGACTTATATTAAATGTTTCATCCTTGCAGTCACATAAATTTCTTAGTTAACTCAGAACTGAGTTGAAACAGGCGTTATGTAACGATACACTTCTTCTCTGTAATGGATACATTTTTTTTTATGGAACCTTTCTTTTGAACGTATTATTTTAACAGTTTTAATACAACTCTTTATAAAAAAAATATTTTAAATTAAAGTTACAAGCAATTGTAAAAGTTTAAATTTTATTTGTTAAAGTTCTTTAAAACAATGTTATGGTAATTTTTTTTTATTTTTTTTTTATTCATTTATTTAGACATCTAATATTCTGTCACAGGGACAATAATTATATTGATAAATTATACTGATAAATGAAAATCACATTCACACCGCATAAAAAAATAAAATAAAATTAACAAAAGTAATATAATAACTAAATAATAATAAATAAAAACTATATACAATAAAAAAAATAAAATAACCTAAATAAAAGTAAATTAAAAACAGTCACACCTATATACAATATATACAATCAGGCGGGGAACCCAAATCCTCGCGCTACTCTCTCAACCGCCTCACCGGTGCTAAAGCCGGTGGAGTTTGAGCGAGAGCGCTTTAGCCACATAATGATTAATTAGAAATAAAAAGTAATTGGGCTTAGGTTAGAGTTATAGTCTATAATTATAAACAGATCACTTGATTCTAATGTGTCGTTTGTTAGAGTAGCTAAGAACAAAAGTAATTTTTAGATCGAATTTTTTTTCCACAATGCAAAATCCTTCGTAAAATCCTCTCAATGCTCTCTACTTTGTCACAAATAAAATCATGTTAACGATCTTAATGTAACATATGTTTCCGATTTAGCTCAATCCAGATACGTATCCTTCCATAATAAACTTCTGAACCATCCGAACCCTCTTGTTTCCAACCTTGCTTCCTCTTCTATTCCTGATAACCCTCCGAGGCGTCTGAAAAGAAGATGGCCTCGGGACCCTCTAATATAGAAATATAATTGGAGTGCCACCAATGGGTAGTTTCTCTTCATGTTGTACATGTCATGTTACTTATTGAATTTATCATTTAATACAGTTGTAAATTAAAAAAAAAAAAAAAAAAAAAAAAAAGATCGAATTTTAGTGAAATCAACAGAAATTTCAAACAATGTGAAAAAAATTAAATAAAAGTTCTTAAAATCTTTCTTGGGAATTTGCTAGGGGAAAAGTCCCAATTTCGAAATAATAGCGAAAAACTGAAAATAAATATTCCAGTCATATCGGAACTGATTAAAAACAAAAGTTAAAATGTCATTTCAAGGTCTCGTTTAATTTTCACCTTCACCAATAGACAAGTTTTATGTTTATTAGTGATATCACTTAATCTGTTGTCAATCTGTCTAATATTTCTATGTAACCATTTGAATTAGCACCTATTGAATTTTCAACGTGTTTTTCCAAAAGTAAAAATGACAAAAAGAGTTGAAATAGTTCCTCTCCTTTTTGACCCAACGCTCCCAGACACTTGTTATTCCTGACAAATCTCCTTCCTCGTCCATTCAATTATCACGGAGTGTTCCTCAGGGCTCCTCACTCTCTCCAACTTTGTTCTCCGTTTATATTAGCGACCTTCCTCACTCCATTCGTCACTCTCATTATCACTTATATGCTGACGATCTACAAATTTACTTATCGTTCCAATCATCTGAGAGGCCCGATGCTACCCATAAACTACTAGAGGATATTGACTATATTCATAGGTGGACAGAAAAAAATAAATTGAAGCGGAACGCAGACAAAACTAAGGCAATCCTCTTTGGTTCCAAGCATCTCATTAGTTCCCTTTCTTTCTCTCCTTTACTTTACCTCAATAACAGTCCCATCCATTTCTTTCCGACAGTCATAAACCTCGGAATGATCTTTGATCAGAAACTTTCTTGGAACAACCATATTTCCCAGATTACCCGTAAATCCATAACTATCCTTAAACAATTTCATCGATTCCCTGATCCAATTCCAAAAAAAACCAGACAGCTCATTGTAACATCCCTTGTTTTCTACCACTTCGACTAGGGTTGATTGGTGTTTGGAGGGCTGTCCACAGGACTGGAGGCAAGACTGAAGAAACTTATGAATTGCTTCATAAGATTCATCTTTGGGATTTCCAAGAGTTTTCATGTTTCCTGTTGGTACGCCGAGTTGAAGTGGCTTTATTCTACTTCCCGCCGTCAATTCCTTCTTGTTGTTTTCTTTTTCCAAGTCCTCAGAACCAGAAACCCTCCCTACATCTTAGAACTCCTGACTTATCGCTCCTCTATCCACTGTCTCAATACCAGATCTCAACCTATAGATTTACATACTCCCTCCCATAAAACCACTTCCTTCAGTAAATCCTTCGTCATTGGTGATACCTCCTTCTGGAACTCCTTACCCATCTCTATATGTCAAACCACGTCTATAAACTCCTTCAAGTAACTCCTATTCCACCACCTACTACAAATTCAAGCTTGTAAGAATTTCTGGGTTATATAATTACGTTGGTCACCAGCAGTTAATTGATAGGAGCCATTTTATTTATTCACTTTTGTTTTCCCTTTGTTGTTCAGTATTTCTTATATTTTTGTGGATATTTATATTCTCCTTAGTATCTATATATATATACATACATTTTCCTTAGTATTTTCTGTATATATTTGCATGATATCTACAAGCCAGACTAATGTACATATGTTTTTAGCTCTACTATTATTCTAAGGAGACTTCAGTCACACAATAAAATTATTTTTCATTTCATTATAATTTTACATTTTGAAGGCCTCGAAAAATACAGATTTTATTTTTAAAAACCCAAACCCAAGTGAAAAAATATGTCATGAAAATAACGGAATTATGAAACTTTGTCAAAATAAACGTATTGAATATCTTTATTTTGTAAAAACCGAGTAAATATTGGGGAATGTTAACTATGACAATTCGAAATTACTTCGTAGGAGCTATGCTTTATCATCTCAAAAATTTCAAAATTTAGAAGGAAGAAAAATGAATAATGAAAACGAGATTTATGAAATAAAGGTTAATTGGTAACTATAATAGAAAACTTGCAACACATACAAAATTCCAAAATCTAAAAATAAATAATCGCTTGAATGAATTTAACGACAGCCTGTTTGAGGAGAAAGTCGTGAACTTAAATAACAGCCAAAGTATACTAAGCAGGAAGTTTGGTGGGTTACCTTACATGTATTAATATGAACAAAATAATACGTATTTTTTTAAATATTTATTTTATTTTTTAAATTAAAAATACTACGCCATATTTTTGGAACTAAAATGTTTTATCTATCCATATGATTCAGAAACAAAATCCAAATTCAGCAATTATTTTTTAGTACATTAAAATAAGTTAAATCTGCACGGTGTAGACTTCACCTAGTATATTTCATTTTTTTTTTTCCATCATTAAAACAATTATGAGATATCAACTTTCTTTAAAAAATGTGCAATATCAAGCTTTAAATTCAATTTTCCGAGAACTGTAAATATGTTACTTATCACCTTCGATTTTAAGTGCATGTTGAGTAAATAGAAGTTTTATATTTATTTATCTTATTCACATCTTAACAAATATTGAACGTTTATCTATATATGATTTATTTATTGTATTGTTAAAAGTTCAGAGGCATCAAATATATAAGAAAGGTATAATATGATGACAGTGAATGTTTTATGCTGTGCAATAATTTTTTTTTTGGGAGGTGCTTATTTTAAATTTTTAACTAGTATTTTTTTTATATATAAATAAAAAATTAGAAATCCTATACATGATAAATCAATCAGAAAACAAATCTTTACGATGAGTTTTTAATGCTAAAACGGCTCTATTTGAATTTTTAATATAAAACTGACCATACATTGAGATTCATTAAAGCAAAAATTTAGATTTTTGTTTTATTAAACTTCGATTATTTATGATTTGAATACATACAACTACAGATATGAAGAAATAAAACTCGGGCGAAGAAGTGATTATTTTAACTAAATTAGTACTCTATGAAAAATGACATAACAAATAAAATGAAATGAAAAATGTGTTTATTCCTACCTAAAAATAATCATTTCACAATACAATTAAGTAATCAAGGAATCACATGTTACCTATTTTTCATTTTTAGAACTTGTTTATTGAGAAATATTACAATCTGTTTCAAAGGACATCTTACTTATTAAATAATAAATTATAAATAAATTATCAATGAGAAAAATAAATAAAAAAGTAAATAATTCTTAGTTTTCTCATAGATTAAAGATATCGAGGCATATACATATATATATATATATATATATATATATCGAAATATCATATATATAATATATAGTTAGTTTAGTTTATTTTATTTGTCTAAGGAAATTCCAGTACAAATAAATATAATGGTATAATTAACAATGTTAGATCTTGAGTCTAGTACTGCATTCAAACATAACATTAACAATGTCCACAGCATTAAGTATGACTAATATAATAACAGATTAGTAAACGATATATATATATATATATATATATATATATATATATATATATATATATATATGTATGTATATATATATACATAACAATTAGTAAAACATTTTTTTTTCAATAATACATTTTTTTTATATAATATAATATATATATATATATATATATATATATATATATATGTTTTTTTTTCGATAATTACACTCTTACCATACATCGCGCCCCGATCACTTTTAGCAAAAAGAGATCTGCTACGTCAAAAATTATTCTGACAAGATCTCAAATTTCCTTACTGCAAAAATACTTTTGAAGATGGCAAATTATTTACCTGATAAAATATAATTTGGGTAATAATAACAAGATATACAATTTATCCTGTTCTGTAGATTTAAGGACCTCAGAAATGGTACTATTCCTTTCCGACCATTTTTCCAATCTACAAAAATGAACCTCGGTCTCATTGAAGCCTATTTATTATTCGTCATCATATTCCATTTTAAAAGAGGAGAGAGGTGCGCCATTGACCTCCGGGGGAGGCGTTTTAGCCTCCAAATCATAAAGCCTGCAGGTAGGTGCCTCACTTAAGCTCAGATTAAAGAGGTACTTTTTGAGTCGACAGTGACCCGAGTACAGTTCTGTCATACACCTAGAGGTGCTCCCGTCCATTAGAAGAAGTGGTACAATTTTCTAAGAACCGAGTCCTTCTAGGAACAACTTGAACTGTGTTTGTTTCTTGGTACGCTCCCAACAGAGCTTAGATTTATTGCCAACAACTGTCTTAACATAAATACACTATTTATAACGTTGATTGGATATTTCTTGTTCCAGGTGGTCGAGCAGCTGGACGAAGATGAAGAAGGTATAGACAACGTAGCCATAGAGATCGACGATGAAGAAGGAGGTTACATGGAGAGATTCTTCTCCATGGTTTGTATGACACATATTTTGTAACATGTCTTGTAAAATAATTGGTTTGTTATTGCAAAATTGCAAAACGAAATCTTGAAATAACGGTTAATAATTAGCCAATTATTAAAAACAATTAATTCATAACAATAGCTTCATCTGATCGCAACCTAAAACTATTTTATTTTCGAAAATTCTCAGAATTGGGGTGTTTTCATTCTGGAGATCGTCAAACTTAGGTATATTAGGTAATTAGGTGTTAAAAACTCGTCCACTATCCACTTGAATCGTAAAAGATTTTGAGTAAAAACTCGAGGAAAAAGATGGCCTTCAAAAATATTGAGCCGTTTGGCGTGATATACATCTCCAAAATAACGTGGTTGTACATGCCAAACGGACCAATATTTTTGTTGGTCATAGTTTTTCTCGATTTTGTGATCAAATTATCTTACGATCCAAGTGGAAAGCAAATGGGTATATACGAGCTTATTATTACCGAATCAAACAGACAAAGTTTGCCGATCTCCAGATCCAAAACGCCCCAATTCCAACAGTTTTCGTAAATAAAATAGTTTTAGGTTACGATGTGATGAAACTATTCACGAAGTTTCATGTGGATGTTAATATTTTGATGGAAAGAGGAATAACAGACTAATAGTGACGAAAAGTTACTAATAATGATTTCTGGAAAACAAATTTTTCCATGAAAATAAATGAATTTTCCAAAATAATAATAAACTTTTTTTTTCTTCATATTTTCATCCACCCCTTGTCATAAGCTTGACAATAAGCAGATGTTTTATTATTGTTAAGAAAACTGGAATTTTAGGCATAAAATTTTAAAATTATTTTCAGCTAAAATATATATAAAACAAAAATATTTAATGCATCGAATTTAAAAACTATTTTATCGAACATTGTTGAGATAATTAAATTTTTTTTTTTTTTTTATTTTTTTTTTATTCACACCTGTCATAGTGGTAATGACAACCAGCTAAACCAATTAAAAATAAATAAAATGTTAACAACATCTATTTTTAATAATTTAATTATTTAAGTAGGGTGGTATGTGAAAGTTGTGATGCTCGTCGCAACTGATTTTTTATATCATTTTTACTAATTTTAAGTATATCCAAATTTAGTACGCAATAGAAATAATAATACCTTATCAGTTTTATTACTCGAAACTGAAAGTGAGATTTTTTTTGTTGTAATCTATGCAACTTCACCAGCGCTAAATCCATAATCTAAAATCCACTGTAATATCTCAATAAATATTAATATACAATTAGAGAAACCTTTTACTATTAAAGTAATCCAATATAATGAAAAAATTGATCTCTTACAACGATGACGTTTTTTATAATCAATAGAAACAAATTTAAATATTTCTCTTTTACTTAAAAAAAAAAAAAGCTAAAGGATTAAATTGGTTGATTGATGATAAACAGAGAAATATTTTTTATTGAACTATAAAGATAATTAGAACAAATGACAAACGAGCATTAGGAATTAATTTAATTATTGAGCTATCAAAAAACCAAATAAAGGAGTTCGAATTTCCTAAGGAAGTAGTTCAGTACGATCCGATTTCAATTTTTTATTTTTCCATTTTGTAGTTAATTTCATTATTTTAAAAATAACAACATACTTGATGCTTAATTTTTGAATTATACGCAAATAAAAGTTTCATCATAACTTTTTTCGTAGCCCTTTTTCGGGGAAGTATTTTGTATACATAAATGGATAGGGTTTCAAGATAAAGGCATTACGAAGTTTTATCAAAATCGTTACAATCGTTTTAGTTCTAGAGTAAATAGAAAAACGGATTTTTCTACTGCCATCTTGAAACAAAATGGCAACTGGCGGCTGGCGATGATTCTCGCTAAAGGCAGCTGTCCAATAGATGCGCAATACCTTAAAACAGGATAAAAACGTGAAAAACTGTTCTTAAATGTCGTACTTTATATACAGTTCAATAGTATTGTTTAGAAAACGCAACACCGTCTTCAACTGACGGTCTATCAAGTTAAAATGTCTATTATTTCTGAAGTAAAATAGACATGATCCGCATGACTTTTTCACATAAAATACATACTATTCTACATTAATAAAAATATATAATTCATAATATCTTGGCTTCAAGCACTATCATATCCAGGATTTAATTTTGGGGGGCTTCAGCCCGAAAGCTTTTTTATAGTATAAATAACGATAATTACTTTGGAAAAAAAGAAAGAAACTAACTACTTATATGAAATGGTGTTTAAGTGATTCCTAAAGTCCTTTTTAATATAATTACATGAGCAATAATACTTTAAGAGCTAATTTTTTAGTATTTTTTTCAATAAAACATGATTATATTTTACCATTTTAGGGGGGCTTCAGCTCCCGTAGATCCACCCGTGGCTTCAAGTATACTTAACATGTGACTTATATGCAAGAAATAATTGACCTCGGCGGTCTCGTGTATCTTTATAGCCAATATTAGAACTCCTTACTTACTACTCACCGGTAGCTTCATGGCCAATAGTAGAAATACTTACCGTGACGGCTCTGTATCCCGGCATATAATAACGGCGAATAGTTATAGCAGCTCGATAAACATGAATCGATCTATTAACAGTTGCTACTAACAGACCATGGTGCAATAACTGCAAGATTTATTACCTGTTAAATATACTTCGCTAGAGTTAGAGATTGAAACGTTTTGGCTCGTTTTCTTAAATCAACCTTAATAATATTATAGATTAGCGCTCTCTCTCCAACTCCACTGGCAGTGACGCGGTTGAGAGAGTAGCGCAGGGATCTCTTAGAGTCCTGCTTTTCCTTCTATATTTGGAGAGAGAAGCCTGGCTTGGGGTTCCCCTCCTGATTGTACATATTTTATATATACATAGACTGTATTTTTATGTTTTTAATTTACTTATTTTTAGGTTATTCTATTTTTTATTGCACATAGTTTTTGATTATTATTTTACTTTTGTTAATTTTATATTTTCTGTATATATGGTGTGAATGTGTTCATATATCACTATAATTGTTGTCCACGTGACAGATTATTATATTTCTAAATAAATAAATAAAATAAAATTTAAAAAATATTATAAAGGGGCTAGTAGTAGGTCCGTTCCCTAATTTGATACCAGATCCTAATCTATAAATGACAAATAGAAAAAAATATATACATTTGGAAGATTTTTTAGTCTAGTTTTTTTGGTCAATCCTCTTACCAGAACATAATGTAAATAAAAATTATAGAACATACAATTTGTATCCAATTGTATAACAGAAGTAGGATCGGAAAACAACGATAATAATTCTATCCACCCCAAGATACAGTACAATCTCAATAATATACAAACCTCGTTAATTTAAAATAAATTGCTTGTACCTTGGTTAAATCGCGGTTATTTGTAAAAATATACATTTTGGTCCCCTCGGTAATCATAATGAATTTCAACAACCAGGTCTTATTAATCGTAAGTCGCTGTTAAAAATCCCACTAATCTAGAAAAGAAATTCACTTCACACTCTTCTATACTTTGAATCTTGTTGGTTTCATTTTTTTTTTTTTTTTTTCTGTTTGCATTGGATTGTATATCCTTTATTTTCATTCAGTTTAGTGTGGATTCATCATGAATGAAAAACGTATCCATAAGTGTCTTTCCGTTTGAGAAAAAAAGCAAACTATAAAAGCAGTTGCTGATGGAGGAAAAAAAATAGATGTGGCCGTACGATTTAATTTTTCCATGGATTATAATTAATTTATGAAATGGATGTACAAAATTCAGGTACATCCAACATATTTTTATTTTAAATTAAATTTAATATAAAGGGATGATCACAAAAAGTTGTCAATAATTTTTATTTAAAATGATCTGTTACCAAATTAACGAAAAATAATATTTAAAAAATTGTTGAATTTTTTTTTATGAAAACTGTTTTGATCAGTTCTAGAAAAATGTTTGAAAATGGATGTAATCAGTTTTGAATCCAAACACCTCATATATAAGTACATACAATATAATGGAATTTGTTTTTTTTTAATTCAAATTTACAACTGTATGACATAACAAATCCATTGGTAGCACTCCAATTATAGTTCTATATTAGAAGGTCCCGAGGCCATGTTCTTTTCAGACGCCTCCGAGGATTATCAGGAATAGAAGAGGAAGTAGGTTAGAAACAAGAGGATTCAGATGGTTGAGAAGTTTATTATGGAAGGATACTTATCTGGAATGAGCTAAATTGGAAACATATGGTACATTAAAGTCATTATGGATGTTTTTATTTGTGACAAACGAAGGTGCATTGAGGATTTTACAAAAGATTGTGGATTGTAAGGATTGGATACGAGAGGAATTTGATAGTTTAGTAGAGCCCCAAGGCTAGATACCATAAGTCCATATAAGTCTTATTATAGTAATATATATGAGTCTTTTGTACATAATTGAAAGTTTAGAGCGTTTGTCTAGTAAGTGCTGTAGTAGTTGAAAAGTTGGAGGATTCCTCATTCCTGGAATGAGGATTCCAAGTGAGTCATTTGTCCAGGTGGAGTCCTTGGTATTGAATTTCTTCAACAGGAATAAGTGAGGTATTGTTAAAGGATACTGTAGTATAAGAAGTCGTAGGTTTACGACGAAATATTGAAAAAATAATATTGATTATTAGCATTACACTTCTCATTAATTTACATCTAAAAGAAAAGTACAATAAAACTGTATAGCTGCTCAACTACGCTGAGTAGCTACAACACCCAGCATACTGATCGGTATATAAAGCATGAAATTATAGATAATATAATACTAATATAATATAAATAATAAAATAAAAGTTATAAATGAAACATGAGAAGGATCATTATATATATAATAAAAATTAAATATTTATGATGCACAGGTCCAGATGAGCAGGGGCTGGATAGAAGAAATAGACAAAAATGTTAAGGAAATAAAATCGACACACTCCCTTCTGCTGTCCTCTCCCAGACCCGAAGAACGTAAGTATTTGTCGTTATATCCAAGTGTTTATTATAGCTAATTTCGCAATTAAAGCCTTAAGAAATTCATAATTGTCTTGATAAACTTGTATCTACACTCAGCGTAAACAACCAGTATACTCGACAAAAATGAAAATAAGGTTTCTTTCTATTAAGCTGTAAAACGTTATGGCCGAGCACGTTCTCCCTGGTTCGATTTCCACCTGGGTCGGTTACTTTTCATCTCTTGGCAGCCCCGGGAAATGGATTATGACATTCCCACTCTGACAAGTGCGCGGCGGCAACCTTAAAGGTAGCCGTCAGGGGTTGGCAATTAGGACCATTATAGGCCCATTTGCCTGACTGGTTCCCTCCCTCGAGTACCAGTACAATTAAGCTGTAAAATTTAAGGCGAGGTACCATTTAGAGTCTGAAGCAAAATAATAATAATAAACTCTATTTATTCTGGGAAATCTTCCTATAAAATAAAATTCAATGATAAAAATGTGGGCTTTGGAGCCTTATGTAAAAAGAATCACAAAATAAGTAAATATCTCAGAATAAAGATAAAATACTTTGCCTTCTCTTTGATGCTTGTTATTAACACTTTTTACAAATTAGTTTACATTGAATCAAGTCTCATAAGAAAATATTATTGACATTTTTTAGAGTAAATATTTCAAAAATATTAATAACATGTTAATAAATCGGGTTATCTCTGTTGTACAATCCACCTTTATAATAAAATCCAAATTAATCCAATAAAGGACATTTGGACAATATCTTAATTATTGCAAAAACTGAAACTGTTTTCCCTCTAAAATTTAATCACTTCCATTCGATGTTTTTAAATAAACTATTTAATTTGTAAAAAACAAATTAGTTTTATTTTATTCTCTTAAAGATATTTACTATTATTTTTAATAAATGAAATTTATGTTTTGTCAGGTTTAAAAAATGAACTGGACGAGAGGACGTACGAAGTCAAAACGATTAGCCAAAAAGTCAACAGGCTTTTAAAAGGTAAATTCAATTTTAAATAAATACATTATTTTTTAAAAAATATTCCTTAACCCAGGAATATTTTTATGAATTTGGAAAAACACAAATGAACATACGGTAAATGCATCAGTAGCTGACATTGGTGTTGCACAAATGCGAGACCGATACGAGTCTTGGTCTTGCAAACTCACTCTTGGCCATGGTCTTGGTCTTGCTCTAGTCTCGCAACATTCTTGCAGTAACTTATTAGGTTATTGCTATAGAGATATTACTGTAATATTTTAGATAGGAGAAACCTTACTAAGCCCGACTGAAAAATTAGAGGAGTTAAATGCAAAACATATTGGTTATACCAATTGTTAACATATAGTAACTAAGATTGTCAAGTATTAGTAACTAGTTTCTCTTAATTTTTATTTAAAAAATCAATTTTTTTTACCAGTCCTGGTCTTGGTCTTGCATAGTGCAAAGTGCAAGACCGATTTTGGGCAACACTAGCTTCAAGAAATTTCTTTGAACTTTTTGGTTTATAACTTAAATATTGATATTATTGCATTTTTCTTAGATTCATTTTGTAGAACTACTTCATACCTTGTCAAGTCGCAGTTAAAATCCGTGACACATCCACTTAAATTTTAAAAAATTGTAAATTTAGAAAATAGTTTTGTCGCATCGATAACTTTCCAATATTGTTCCAATCGGTAACTTTTTTTACATTTAATTTTCGACTACGTTAATATGCTTATAAATCTGATAGTATTCTTATAATTTATGACTAAAGTATTGTTATACTTTTTCCATCATCTTATAGAAATTATTTTAGCGGGCTACTCATATCTTCTAAAGCTATGGCGAATTACTGCTTTCTACTGTTATTACAGATACACCTATATTTTTACATTCACTTAAAAATCACTTAAGAAAATCCTTATCATAAAAACATTAAATTAACTTATTAAAAAATATAAGTTTTACATATTTCATGTTTATAATTTCGTCTTATTTTCTTTTCTTACAAATTCATCAATAATTTTGGTAGGGTCATTTCCACCTAAAATATTTTTCTCTATACAGTATAGCACAATACAGAATAGCATTAGTATTTAGTAATTCCTCTTCTGAAGTCCTCCTTAAATAATTTTTTACACGTTTTAAAAAAATAAAATAATCTTTCTTCTGAGGCATTAGATAGGGGAAAAGTTGAAAAAAAAAATCAATAATGTTTCAATCCAGGACAATATATGTATGTACAATATTTCTTTAGCTGTTCGATAGATACCTGATCTGGAACTCATTTTGTCCTCGCTTTTTTTTTTAGATATATTAAAAAATCATTAAAAGTATATCTGTATTGGTATCACTTTTTAAATATCTTTTATTTTATTTATCGCGTTCATTATTTCATTAATTAATTAAATTCAAATAAAACAAAATATTCAAAAGAGCTCAACAACAACTTTTCACGCCTGAGCTCGATTCGATCGGAGACATTTCTGTTTTGTGCAATCAGTTGTAAAATTTATTTTGATATCTGCGGGTTTTTATATCTTGCATGTTAAATGATAGCACTAAAAAATCAGGTGCCTCTTGTTTAGTCTTGTTAAAGAAATTGTACTGGGCGTTAAATAAATCTATTCTTTATGTACTAGTCCGTGGCACAGACTCCTTTTTATCAATCTATTTACATCCGTCTAAAATTTCGTAAATGGCATCACATTGTCGGAATCTAGACACTTTTTTTATCTACAAAAATTTTCAAAAATGGAATCTTCATGGAACTCATAAATACCCATTTGCTTTCCACTTAAATCGTAAGATAATGTAGATCAAAAAATCGAAAAAAAGGTTGCCTGCAAAAATATGGAGCCGTTTGGTCTATATAACCTCGTTATTTTGACATTTTGGGGATGGAGATCGCGCCGAACGGCCCAATATTTTTATTCTTCCTTAAGCCACCTTTTTTATTCTTCAGTTTGTGATAAAATTATTTGAATATCCATGTGGAAAACAAATGGGTGCGCATGAGTTTTTAGTACCTAATTATTAAATAGACGAAGTTTACCGATCTCCAGACTGAAAACGCCACAATGCCATTAGATGGTTATTTTAAGATGAAGCCATTCACGAAGTTTTAGGCGGATGTTAATGACTTGATAAAACGGATCTGTATCACGGACTAAACATACAAGGATGTATGTAGATTCATGTTTCATAAGTGATATTAATTTATTACTTATTATTATTTATTTTGCATGTAGTTAACATTAGTCCATAAAATGCTAAAGGAGGGAGTGAGTGCATGTGGTTGCGACGTGCTCGTTGATTACTCCATACCTTCCATTATTACGCTTGGTGAATGTATAATTATCTGGCAGAGATCCTTGTAGAATGGGTGTTGTAGATCCTTGTATATTTCTTCTAAAGGAACGTTAATAATCGATCTATCATAGTAATCGATAGATATTAAAAATATCAATCGATTGGACCATTACACTATAAATTATCTTAACTGGGATCCTATTTTCAGATTGTAATCGAATCAATAAAGCAGCTCGTATAAATCAGTATCGAGAATTACATCCCAAGTCATCAAATTGAATCGTTGTAAAACTAAATGACAAGGGAAATAAAAATTGAAATTGAAATGATAGATTGTTTAGGTGTCTTGAGCTTAGCAGAACAACTGATGTGTTTTATCTCTTCGGTTTTCCTTGGCCTCATTCCAGTACAAAGCTCATGGTGTGCATTGCTGGTTAAGCTTAAAATGATTTCCTCGCTTATTTTCTGATTACTTTTCATCTTGGATATATTTATTTTTTTAAATATTTATGTATCTAAACTAAAATGTAAACGTGTATATACTAAATTGACCTATGTACATTAAGGATTAATTATAGGACGGCTACAAAGAACACATCCATGACATTCCTAAACGTGAATACACATTAATAAAAACGTAATATACACACAATTTAGGCATCTAAATTATTTATTTATTGTGACTAACAATCGTAACTAAGGATACAATGAGTAAATGCACTTTTTTGTAGGAAATGAGATTTGTAATTAAAGGTCTGATTATGTAAGATCAGTATGGATAATTTTATTTGACACAATAAAGATTCGGATTTGGGAAGGAAGATATCAAACTATTATTTATTTATTATTATAAAAACTATTATAAACACTGAAATATGAATATATTCAATGACATATATGACCTGTGAATTTGGAATAAATCAACTAGAAAATTATTTTATTTTAAAAGTATGTTTAATACAATTCATGTTAATTTTTTTTTATTTATTTATTTTTAGTTTCAACAAAAATAAAGTATCATTTTTTTATTATTATTATGACTATTATTACTTTTTTTATTGCTAATTTACAGTGCCTCATTAATAACCTTCGTCGGATTATTTAAAAGTAGAATAACAGATGAGTCCTATTATTTTTTTTCCAGATTCTAAACTTGGCTAATGCAACCATGCAAAATTTTGGCAATTATATATATATATATATATATATATATATAAATTTATATATATATAAATATATATTAAATATATATAATAAAATAGAAGCTATACTTCTTTATTTATTTCAGTTTTGTGGGATTTTTATAAAAAAAACCCACTGTATAATTATTCATTTCATTTTGTAAAATAATATGTATTTTCTCAAAAGGAGCATGATGTGATTATTATTACTTTTTTTTGTTAACCTAATGATCACTTCTATTTCGGAGCCATAAAATATTTTCAGTTGTCTCACTATTCTTGCAGTTTTGGACAAAATACATTAAAAAAAAAATCTTAGTATGATAAATTATCATGAATTAAATAAATTTTATTTAAAATTATCAATAATTAATTGATTATAATCTATTTGAATATAATTTTTCGTGATCTTCATTTATTTAGTTTTTGAAACATTGGTATTTTCAGAACAAATAGATTTTATTATTACTATTTATTTAGGAACTTGAAATCCATGTGTGGCAGAATATATTTTCAGTAAGATCAGTCGTCGATAATATCTGGTATCAGGAAACTTGGGAATAGGTCCATTCTTCCTACATTAGTTTAGAAGATAAATGGCAATTCAATGCAGAACTCCTTGGGTAACTTTTCGTAAAGAAACAAGGAATCCTTAAATAAAAAATTATTTACACAAAATAATTTCACACTTTTTCTCATCTATTCAAAAGGTGAACTTTTTATAAGATATAATAGATTATTCAAGTATAAATATGTATTTAAGACTGAAAAAGTTCATATTGAGCTTTCTACCAATGAATAATTGACAAGTAAATGTGATTATTAAATTGATTAGTTTGTAATTACTGAATAATATTAGTCAATTTGTTTTAAACTCTGAGTTAGAACGCTCAATTTAATTTATTTAGCTACAAATTTAATTATCTTAATTTATGCTTTGCTCTTACTTTTTAAAATAAGAAAAATAAATAAATCCATAATAATGAGACATAACATAAAGTAAGACTTATTGCGAGACCATTACGGGGTAAAATGAAATGAAAGTTTTGCAGTTTTGGTTTGGTTTAGAGATGGAGAAGGAGATAGAGCAAGAAGAAGAAGAACTGGGTCTTAAGGAAAAGAACTTGCAGGCCCCCGCGAGGTTGAGGATGCGACGAACGGCTCATAGCAGTTGCCTCTTCTACTTCATAGAAGTAATGGAATCCTGGAACAAGGAACAGAATGACTACAGGCAAAAGTGTGTTGAGAGGATACACAGGCTAGCCTCAATAGGTAATCCAATACATATATAATTTATACTATCATAAACCGTATATGCACATTTTATCCAATATATTGACAGTACTCATTTTTTTTTAATTTCAACATTGTTAAGAAAATTAAAATGGAATTTAAAAAAATTTATAAAGTAAGCCCGACATAAAGTAAATCGACAAATAAAAGCACTTAAAATTTTATCGAAGCTCAGGTAAGGCAAGAAGCAGATCTGAAATTAATCTTTATGAAATTAATCTTGTCTAAGTTAATGAATGTATCCATAAGGATATTTTAAAAAGATAATATATTAAAACTCTGAGTTTCTCAAAATAAAGTGTATTAGATCATGTATGGAATAGTTGTCTGAGAAATAATGATAACATCATGGCGATGGTAAAAAAAAAAAAAAAGAAAAAATTAATAAAAGCTGTTGTTTCAACCCACATTGTTGGCCATTTTTCTGGGTCTCAAAAACAAAGATACAACAAATACTCGAATCATATAAATAGATAGAATTAAAGAATATAACAGGTTGAATAAAAAGGAAAGGTAAGAATTATATATTTATTGAATAAAAGACCCAACGTATCGTTGGTTTATTGCAAAAAGTCATTTAGTGACATTTCATAATCTCAAATAATTAAGGACTTTGTTGAATTATCCCTTTGTGAAATCAGAAACTTGTACACTTAGTGTAACTATATAAGATAAATAAAATGGATTGTCATTTTCATGGATTGTCTGTTTTTTGTTGTTTGCCTGTGTTTAGTTCATTTAGTCTGATGTATTACCTTTACTTTTAATCTCTACATTTATTATGATAGATTAAACTGATATTCTTGAATCAATGTCTCCGTAATAGTACCCCACACGATTGGTTGGATGAATTTTCAAAGCAGAATTAAATTTGTATCTCATTCCTTACTACATCATTTTTGAATTGTTTAATATATCTTTAAATAAACTATTTTTAGCATTCGCTTTTAATCATCCTACCAATCCCATTGGATACAATTGACAAATTTTATATGAATAATAGTGTATAATAAATCAAGATTAAGTTTTAAAAATCAAGAATGAAGTGAGCAGCTCATCATCATCCTAATTCAGCAAAAGGAAGTAGAATTGGGCAGTATTGCAGATAGTTTATTTTGAAACTCAAGTTTTGAAAAAAATAAATAAATAAAATAAAATTAGTAACTTGAGGCTTTTAATTTGAAATATTCTAAAAATATCTTTAATTATTATAATTTTTAACCCTATTGTAATATTATAAATGTTTTCATATTGTAAAATTTATGACTTTAATATTAATATTTTTTTTTTTGTTTCAGCTAAAGCAGTCGTTACTGATGAAAGATTGGATGAACTATTGGAGCAGGGCAACTATGGTGCTATATTCAATGATGATGTAAGATATACACACCACATATTTATTCTTATTAGATCCTGTGAGAATTCACAGTATTCATTTTCAAACAAAATCATCTTTTCAATATTTTTCCAAAACGATTGTTTGTTAATGAATCAAAGCCAAAACATTCCAATGTAGTGAATGATAGATAAGGTAGTTCATGACATAAAGTGTATTTCAGTTACCCTGAATATTAAATGTTTCAACACAAACAGTTTATTCAGGAATGCATCTTAGTAAGTGTATTATCGAAAGTTGCATACATGCTATGAATCAATAATATTTAATCATAATAACAGTAAATTAAAGAAAGTTATCATATTTTCCTTTATAAGAAATTATTAACTAGATAAACTATCAAATAGATTTTACTATACCTAATTACCTGATATATTGTATCATATCTAGTACCATTTTGAGTTGGCAGTAGGGTTGAAATACTGAAAAAATCATAAGTTAAAAAAACAAATTTTATTCCTCTCCAGGATTGATTAATTTATATGTTAATTCTAGTAAACATTTTTTAAATAATAATTTTAAACTGTTTGATGATTAATTTTATTTGTTAGTTTTATCTAAATGTACTACAATTTTCAAAATTCTACAGAATTCCACAATCATTCCTTACATTTTTTCCACATTTTAAATGTTTGTCTATAAATTTTTGTAGTTTGACCATTATCAAATTTGTTATCTTTTAATATTGTTATTATGGCTGTTTTTTAAAACAGTGATTATATATTCAAAATGTTTAGTTTCTTGAAAAGCGGTTTGGAGAATTCTAATCTTTTTTTTTAGAGTAATACGAATAATAATTTTCTGTATTTTAATCACAAAATCTAAAGCATTTTCAACTCCTCCAAATAAAAAAAAAATAAAAAATTTGAACTCATTTATCATTAAGTTAGTTAAAAAAAGTAATGATTATTAAAAGTCTTACATTTATCAAAATATGTTATGCTGCCACAATAGTGTTGATTTTTTTTTTTAAGATTGTAGGCTTTTCCCTGATAATTTAAGGAAGTATTCAAGATTATCCCTCTGTAAATGCAAATGTTAAAGAAATAGCCTTAAAAAATGTGCTTTTAGAATTCACAGTATAGAAATTTCATTTATATTCACAGATAATAACCGAAACTATTGAGGCAAGACGTGCTCTCGAAGACGTTCAAGTGCGGCACCAAGAACTCCTCAAGATAGAAAAGTCCCTTCAAGAGTTACGGGATCTCTTCATGGATATGGCTATCCTTATTGAACACCAGGTAAGATATGGAAATCGTAATAGATATCTTTTCTTAATACCTTATTTGTGCCTACGTAAATGGAAGCTTCATTTTGTTGATTTAATGCATTAACTAACATTTCATAAAAGTTATATATACTTTAGTACTTTCATGAATTTTCTCATCAGAGAAATAAAAACATTGTGCAACTATATTTGATATATAAAAAGCTTTTGTCATTGTGATACACTAGTCTTTTCATAGCCATAAATAAAATCAAAATTCACAAAAATGTATTTAAAAGTTTAGCTCTATCAAAAATGTTCTTTGAGATTTTTTACAATAAACGAACTATTTATTTTTTCAGCTTTACTATTGAAAACTAATGTAATAATAGATTATTGATATTATTAAGAAATCCTTATCTAAATAAACACAGCAACTCATTATTCTACTTCATATTACTGGTAGTTGTGGTTGATTTCTTTTTAGGTATACTATGTAGTTAATAATCTTTCATTAAAATAGAAATTAAACACCAAAGCTAAAAAAAATATATTTTGATTTTTAAAAATTGTATAGCTCTTCTTTTCTTTATATTTATGAAGGTAATGGGGAACTACTTAATTCACATAATGCTTTATGTAATCAACTTTTTAATGAGTTCTATTGTTCATAAAAACAAAATGTGGTGTATCAATTGATATAAACAGGTTACATAATAAATATAAACATTGTAGAATTCTTCTGTTTAGAATATGAGAAAGGTCAATAGGTAATCTCTGAAATGGCAAACAAATTGAAAAGGTTTTTACTTATAAACTAAAATAATGGAAGCTTAATTTGCTAACACTACGATCATACAAAAAAAAAAAATTACTGAGCATTTTTTTTTTAAATTCTGGAAAAGCAGAAAAATAAAATTTATTTTGAAATTTGAATAATTGATTTCTTAGTTTTTCTGGATTTTCGGAAGTTCAGTTTTTCTGTTTTAAATTTCATGTATTACTCCTCCCTAAAGGCATAATGTAGATAGAGAAATTTCAATTAAAATTAAATTAATTAATGACATCAACAGTGTACATTAGATTAAAAATACTTAATTGTCCTTAATTTATTTATTTCATACCAGAAGGATTATGTTCACGTCATAAAAATATAATGATTAAAATATTTTAGAAAATATCAATTTTTCATATTAATGATGAAACTTTATGTCAATATAATTCATATTGTTAATATTTATCTGTTTTAGGGTGAGCTGGTAAACAGGATAGAGAATCATGTCCTCAAGACCACCGATTATGTCGATACAGCCAAAGTTGAAATGAATAAAGCTATAAAATACCAAAAGAAATCACGCAAGGTATTCAAAACAAAAAAGAGAACTTTTTTCCGAAATAAATAGATTTTTACTATAATAAATTTTAAACCATTCTTATATCCAACGATATTGTAAAAATATAATACTATTAGACAGTTTCTAATATTATCAGAAAATGCAAACAAACATATGTAAAGGCCAAGAGAAAGGGAAATAAATTAATTATTTCAATTGATTAAATTTTGAGAGTATAACTATGAACTGGATAAATATCCTTGATTTGGGTTTCTTTATTTTTATTTTAGCATTTAAATATTGTATTAATGACACATAACTAATCAACTTTGGTAATATGAATGTATACAGAAAAGGGTTGATCATTTTGTTTTGTTTTTGTTTTGTAAAAGGGTTTATCATTTTGTACACTCAAATAAAAGCAGACACCCATCTCCTGTTTTATAATTGTAATGTTTTGGTTTAATTTTAAGTATTTAATTTTAATATTTGGTTTAATTTTTTTTTCAATCAAATAGCATGATTTTTTGTACTTAGCTTTATTGGACTTTATAATTCAACTTGATAAGGCTACTTATCATACTTATTATCAGGGATGCCTATCTCCTCCATTAGTTAATGGTGTATGAAATTCACCTTCCCCCTTAAGAAATTGTATTGCTCTTCTCTTCTTAAAAATGGTGCAAAGGAAAATAGAATAAGAAAAATCCTAGATCATATACAATTGCACTTGCTGTGATTTAGTCCATGTTTTTCCCTTTGTTCCTAGGCTAGTAACTTTTCATTCTGAAAATTCATAACCCTGTCAAAAGGTTTTCTCCTCAAAAATTTTTGCGCCCCTCTTGAAACCCTCTTTTGGGTCCTACTGCTCATTATATTATATAACTATAGTTCAACTAGATTTTACAGGATTGGACAGGACTGATTGTAGTTGACTGGACTTGACTCAATATATTATCAATAGGAAAAAATAGAGAATAATTGTATGTTTATTCTCATCATGGCCTTTTTGATCTACCACAACAGGATTATATAAATGTACTTCCTTGGATCGTTATGTTAGTCATAGCCACATCACCTGTGCTATCTTTATTAATATAAGTTATAATATTTTTATTTAATATAATTTTTTTCAAATTATTGCGTTGTTTTAATTATTCCTATATATCCGATCCAATAGCTTGACTTTACTCGATTCAACTGAATTATACTGGACGGTATCGGCATTGACATGAAATGGTTGAACTACAGGATTAGATTAGACTAGACTGAACTATATTGTACTTGATTAAACTGACTTAACTTTAATGGCTTGGACACAATAAACTAACCACAGAGTAAAAATCAGTAATTGGTTATTTTAACATCTTTGAGCCACCAAATAATTTTTTAACAATGACTAGTTTGGAGAGAAAAAAATGATTTGACCATAAGGTACCATTTAGATTGAAATTAATTGATTAAAATATTATATATTGATTTTCATCATATTTTTAATTCACTTCCAAAAGTTTATCTGTATACCAATAGTATTTTCAAGCCAGGTATGGACATAAATAGATGTTCACTGAGTTTGGATGTATAATGTCATGCCTTAACTAATAAAATGTTTTTTTTTTTAAATTCATACTGACATTTTTTAAATAGTTTGATTGGACAACATGCATGCCTAACTATAAAGAATAGTTCATGAACCAGATCATTTTTATCTCACATTTTTTAGCTGTTCCTTGTTCACTTCATTAACAATCAGTACATCTCAGTGAATAAATGGGAAAAATTTTTGTTGGCAATAAGTTTTATTATTAATATCAATAAGTCTTAATTTCATATCTTAAGCCAGATAGGACTGGGGAAGGCTGCAGGTATTTCTTATCCCATGGCATTCTAAACTATGGAAGTTAAGAGTAGGTCACTTTCTTTTCAGTAAATATTTCAGATTTATATTGCAGGAGAATTGGATATAATTATGGAAAACAATAAGACAATATTATTTTAGCTGCCCTTTTAAGTAATACATAATTCTTTAGAAAAGAAGGAAAATTGTCGCAGTAAATTATAACTATTTATTTTAATCATTATAGAAAGATTATAAAATAAAAGTCTATAGTCTCCCACTAGTTAGTTAACCAGCCATTGTTGCATCCCTCTAAGATTTATTCAGTTTTTTCTTTCTTTTTTTAATTTGAATGTTACTTATTTTTTCTAAAAAATAAATTATTAATTATTTATCTAGGCCAAATTGTTTTACAGAATCTGATTATTCTGATCATCATCGTATTGGTCATCCTCATCATCATAACCCTCTACTTACTCTACCACTACGGAGTCATATAAACATACCTCCTTGGATCCTATGCTAGTCAGAGCCGCATCATCTGTCCTATGTATAAATATAAGTTATAATGTTATTGTTTAATATATAGTATTTTTAAAAAAATATATATTTTTTTGTTTTAATTATTCCTTTAGTTGTACACTTGTCACAAATACCAAGTTCACGAGTATATAAAGTTCATTATCTATATAACTTCATGACTTTCGCTTGTCCCATATAAATAGTGTGATTATTTTTTTTATGTGTTACCAAAACAATTTACAATTGAATTCTGAGAAACAATGTGAAAATATGTTTCATTATGCTTACCTGAGGAAATTAAACAAACTTTAAAATCAATTAAACTCTTTTGTAGGGTCTATGAAGGTGTGCAAAGTGTTAAAAATTGGGGAAATGGTGGGGTTGGGAGAAAAAATTTGATACTCCCTATAGACATTTTCCTAACACCAATTCAATTTGCAAAAAACTTTTCCATTTCCTATTCAATGAGAAGGGACTTCTTTTCCCCCACCTTCTTTGCCTTTTAGGCAACACAGGATTTTTCCCAGGCAGGGGAAGAGGGCGGGAGAATTATGCCGAGTTAAAAGTCAAACTGAACACCCGGATTTGGTTATGCACTCTATAAAGATATTAGAGGCTCGGCTCACAGGGAAGAGACCAAGAGGGTGTCCCAGAGTTTCATATCAGGAGTTCATGCATAGGTAGAATAAGCAAATCCTTCAACCAAATGAAGCGATTAAGCAGAGACCAGGAAGAGTGGCTGTGCTGGATTGAGGATCCTCAAGGCTAGAAATGGCATTGTGAGGAAGACAAAGAAGAAGAAACTTCGGTTATCTCAGGGTTTTTTTTTTTTTTTTTTTGGTCCTCTGCTTCCTCGATTTTAAGGCTATACGGGGTTTTCCCAAGTCAGGGGGTGTGTGCAGGGATTTAATAGACTCTCCGGCACCGGGACCTGAACTCGTGACTATTTTAAATCCATTGTCTGATAGATCAGGTTGTCAGGTGAAAAGAAAAATTGGAAATTCTTAAAAGGAACTTCCCTAAGTACATTTACTATTGATATCACATACATACTTTGATTCAACATGATAATCCCATCAAATTTTATCTCAACATAAGGAACCTTAGAATAACCTTTGATCAAACCCTTCAAATTCCAGGTAAAACCAAGGATTAAATATCTCCTGCCGTGCCTTTTCCGCTTTAAAAGGTCTAAATTACCTCCACCACCTATATCCATTTGAAACCTATAGACTCCTAATCACTTCCTTAATATTTCCACACTTTGACTATTGCTGAAGGGTGTATGGAGGTGTCTCTGGGGATCTCTAGGCAAAACTAAAACGTTTGATAAATTGCTTTATACGATTCATCTTTGGGATCCCAATGGACATCTCTGTTTTTGTGCAGAGTTGAAGTGCCTTTATCCTTCCTACTGTCAAAAGTATTTCCTGGCATCATTCCCCTTCCAAGTGATCCAATCCCGCCATCCTTTATACTTGTCCTAGCTGCTTCAATTCAAATCCTCAATTCATTATCACAAAACCCATTGCCGGTCTTCAGATTTATATACAAAGGCCCTCCAAACCGTTGCTTTTGACATATCTTTTATTATTTGATCCTCATTCCTATAGAATTCTATACGTTCCTACATCCTTCACTCCAATATCCACCCCACTTTTACCCTTCCTGGTCAATCACTTGCTATCCATTCAGTCCCCATAAAAATGTAAACATATGTCAACAGATAAGCTGTAAATATGTATATAAATATTTTTATTTCACTTTTTTTTCTTAATTGTTTAAACTTTATAAGGTAACATAATTTTTTTATTCTTCTTATTTATTACGTCTCTTTGCTTATTTTATGATTATTCTCTAAGCCTCCAAATCCGACATTTCTATATCTGTATATTATTCTTAATGGACGTCCCAGAATAAATTAAGTATTATTATTTACATATATATGAGTATCTGACATTCTTGAACATGGACCATGGAAGGAGTATTATGGTTAATTTTTTCAAAGGAAATTTTCTGATAGAGGGAGAAAAATGACTTCAACAGTTGCATACCTCCTGTGCTCAGCTATAAAAGAAGACCATGTATGGTAATTTACAAATACCATAGAAAAATCGGATTGCACATGGTGAAGTATAATAGAAGATTTCTGGGGTTAGGAAAATCAGAGTCAGGAATGGAGGAGTGAAGAAACAAAACACAGATGATAGATGAAATCTAACACATGAAATTTCTTAAATGGAAATGGACCAAGAAATATTTTCTGGCCATTTGGCAAGAAGAAAGGTACCTGAAAGTTTTGCATGGACCTCCTAACGATAAAGAAAACGGACTTCTAAAAAGGATGGCTAATAAACTTGAAATTAAAGTAGTCAAAGCATGGATGGGTGACCAATATAAAGCAGAATAGGAGAAGTTTCTTAGCATGGCAATCTTATAGCTCCTTTTACTCCATTAAGGAAAGATTTGAAAATGTAAATTGGGCAAAAATATCAATAATTAATAAGAGGAAGAAGTATGAAGGCTATTATAATTTCCTAACACCATTATCATTTGACAATTATTGTTATGATATTAGTGCATGATTCCAAAAACAGAACCTAAAGTATCTCAAATATCAATGACTAACGTTGTTTCGCCAATACAATCACTATCAAGATAGTAAATAATAAGATCACATAAGTGCAGACTTGATTCATCACATTATATATTTAAATCTTACAGGAATCTGCTGAGGAAAGATGAAAAATGTCAGATATCAGTTAGATTTGGGAGGCAATGCTACGTACTGAACTCTTAAAAAAATTCCTATTCAAATTGAAAATTGACTTGAGAATTTTAATTTTTATATAAAAATATCTGTTTCCAGATGTGTCCAACCCCCCTACTCCCCCCTTCGTTGATGATGCATGGACCTCTTCTTTCCAAAATATTTTGTTGCTATCCTTTTCTTAAAATCAGTGGAAGCTAAAGTAGAATTTTAAAAATCATGTGTCATATACAATTAAACTTTAAGTGTTCTGTTCCATACTTTCCCCAAGTCTCCTGATTTGAAACTTTTCATTTCGAAAATCCATAATCCCGTCGAAATGTGCCATCTTAAAAACGTTTGATGGCGTCGTCACCACAATATGCGATAACGCTTTGAAGTGAACCCAGGATTTGCTCTTATCTATCTATGACAGGATACTACTATCGATTTAGTTTATTCTTAGAAACAAATAGCTAAAGATGGCTAACTGTGAAGGTCTCCTAGAGGAACGTAGAATTAATGAGTCAGCATGGAGGACGTGAGACCGGCAAGAGAAACTGCCCTGAGAGCCGGACATTGTTTCAGCCTCTATCTTGTGAAAGTTACTGTCCTCAAGATACTCCCTGTTTACTGCAACGACCGTCTGCCACGGTCTGCGGTCCCGATCCTCATCTAGAAGAAGCTTATTCTCCTAAGTCGAATTATAATTTAGGATGGAATAATCATATTGTAGATTTGTTCCGATATGATAGTGATGAAATATAGTAACATACTATGTCTTCTTTGTAGATTTAGTTGAAAATATGACTTTCACTAAAGATAGTTAGTTAGGTTACAGTTATTTAGTCGATATTTTGATTTCATCGAGTTACGTGTCTGTAGTGGAATTTTGAGCTGAGCGTTACAATACCACTGGGTTGAACATTTTTAAATTAAATAACCACTTGGTTTAATTTTTATTAAATAAATTTTAGCTTTACGAATCGACAAACAATATCATCAGATCCTCTTGTTCATGAGGCGGCTATAAGCCATTTGGCCAAAATCCTTCTATTGGTTGGTTACCAGGAAAATCATTGGAAAAAAATAATGGACAAGAATTAATACCGATATAGTCAACCTGAATTTTACATACCGTAAGATGAGGTAACTTTGGTACAACGGATAAAATTTAAATTGTGGTGATTCCGTGGTGGATACACTGTGTTGGTTCAGTCAGCATGGACAGCAAATACACTGCGATACTACCTTGTGGCACACTACTCTTGAGGTACAAGCGAAAGTTTCATGAACAAAAGAATTTTGAAAAAAAGCATTGAAAATAAATAAAACCTAACTGCACAACTAGTGTAGTGGACTAGGGTTCTCAAACTACCGCAAGGTAGTAGCGCAATACATGCCTACACAAAACACATTTTTGCAGACTGAACCAACACAGTGTATCCGCCACGGAATCATCACAAACTAAATTTTATCCGCTGTCCCAAAGCTACCCACCCAGTCACAAAGTTACCCCATCTTAGGGTATCTCATGTACAAATATCTAAAATCTAAAGAAAATAACATTATTTTAATCCCAACGATACCAACCAAATTTACGTTTGTCTACACCAAAAGTATCTGTAATTTATTCGATATGCTTGATGGATACAAACTTAAATTAATCTTAATGTACTATATATTAGATAATAGATTAAAAAAATTAAATACCTATTGATTTTAATTAATGCATAAAATAAAAAAACCGAGTGTGATGTATTGTGTGATATCACGCAACTTTTACTTAACAACTTGAGGTAGAAATTAATTTTAAATAAATAATATAATTTCAACTATTAAGATAAACCAGCGAAAATTATAATAGAATGTAATTATCTGGCGTGTTATTTATTTTTGGGGTCTCAAACTGAAAATTAAAAAAAAAATCAGTATACTTAAAGTTTTCACTATACAAAAATATATTATTAGATAAAATTAACAACTGTAATCATTTCATTATTCATTAGTTTTTCGTCACTCTTCGTTATCATCTACGACTTTCAACAATATATTATACGTCAATATCACTACTCTTACTCCCGGAAATACTTTGTAAATAAAATAAAAAAAGAACTTTCCTGTTTTTATTTCTATAGTTTATTAATAAATTGTTTCATAATTCATATATATATATATATATATATATATATATATATATATATATATATATAGATAATTCATTTTTATTTTATTTAAAATTATTTCAAACAAACCAAGTTAGAAGTAAGTTAGATGAACAAAATTAAAAAAATCGGCATATGAAGTCTGTCAGATTATTTGCATGAGGTTAAGAACATAATTGATATTAATAGA